CTCCCCCCACTACATTTTTAAGCAAACAACAGGCATGCTCTGGGTTTGATGCTGGTTCTTGATGTCTGTAGCTCTTGCTGTCAAAATCAGAGCACATACAGGATGGAAGGTGAACACCCAGTATAAAACTCATTTCCGGTGCAGAACTGACTCTGCAAGACCTCAGCTGTCAAGGCCACACCCAGTCCCCTGTGGAGTCAGATGGGAATTAGGCCTGCAAGTCGCACCTTCCTGCAGATCCAGAAGATTCCTAAATACTCAGGGTAGCACTATCATGAGATGTACATTTGCACTGAAATAAGTAAGCAGCATCCTCTCGGACCGGCTCTCTGGAAGCAACGTCTAAAACCTGGGACCGGAAAGACAGACTGAAACGGAAATGCCGCCCTGGGTGCTGCATGCATGTGTGTGGTGCAACTCGGTGCTGACTGGTTCTCTCCTTGCAGGGGCTCCAAGTGAACTTAGGGCAAGGGGGTCCCCTACCCGAGGCTGCTTGAGGTCACTGCCAGGGACTGCCTATTGGCAGAAACATGACACAATGAGCCATGCCAGCGTGCAAGGGCATCACACTGCCCTTGGAAATTCTTGTCCCCTAAACATAAATGTTCTCCATCTTCATCACACCAGCATCCTCTCTCCCCCCACCCCCGTCACCGTCTCTATCTCCCCCTACCCCGTGCTCAGTGAGTTGGGAGACAGCTTTGGGGGACCGCTGGTCCAGGAGCTCCCAGGCTGGGGCTGGCTTTTTCGCCAGAGCCGGCTCTTGAATTCCAGCACCAGGTCCCAGGCACGGTGGGCCCCAAACTCAGGGACGCCCAGAGCTCATGGAAAATGCAGACCAACAAGGAGCCAATGACATCGAGAGAGCAGCACAACAGCTGTGGGTCCAAACGAAAACAGGAGCCGGTGACAAGCAGTGGCACCGCATGGGTGTTCCTGCGCTGAATGGAGCCATCAGATCTGGGCCGGCTCGGCCGGGGGCGGCTCTGCAGACTGTGTGTGCAGCGCTGAGTATTTCACTACGGAAAGAAGAGGCCGTCAGAAGGGACTCAGCTCTGCCCTGCATGGGAGGAGTAAACACACCGCCAACCCCCTCTGGGAACACAATCGGGTTCCTTGGGTCCCGTCCAGGAGCTGGGGAGCTCAGCCCATTCTGGGCAACCCTCCCTCCGGGGCCCATGCCCTGTACCCAGTCAGGACCGTCCTGGGCCTGGAAGCAGTTCTGTGTGGGTCAAGGGGGAGAGGAGGAGGAAGCTGGACAGGCCCTGGAAAGAGCTCAGCCTCCATGTCCCCATCTGGAAAGTGGGAATGCTCCTGGCAGGGTTGCTGGAAAAACTTTTATTTTTCCAAGTCAAGCTCTCACTGTGTCACCCGGGCAGGAGTGCAGTGGCATGAACATGGCTCACTGCAGCCTTGACCTCCTGGGCTCAGACCATCCTTCACCCTCAGCCTTCTGAGTAGCTGGTACTATAGGCACATGCCACCACACCCAGCTAACCTTTTTCATCTTTTGTCGAGATGGAGTCTCGCTATGTTGCCCAGGCTGGTCTCAAACTCCCGGCCTCAAGCAATCCTCCTACCTTGGCCTCCCAAAATGCTGGGCCTACAGGTATGAACCACTGTACCAGACCTCGGAAGGGTTATTTTAAATAAAGCACTCAGCATGGTACCTGGCCCACATAGATGCTTATCCAATAGCAACTAATGGTAGTAAAACTCATGGTAGTGAATACTGTGGAATCTGGTTTTTCACATTTGAATCCAGGGATTAGTGAATGAATTCATTTATTTATTTAGAGTCGGGGTCCCCATAGCCTCAACCTCCTGGGCTCAGGCAGCCCTCCTGCCTCAGCCTCCCAAGAAGCTGAGACTACAGGCATGTGCCATCAAGCCTGGCTAATTTTTAAAACAGTTTTGTATAGGCCGGGCTCGGTGGTTCAGCCTGTAATCCCAGCACTTTGGGAGGCTGAGGCAAGTGGATTGCCTGAGGCTGCGAGTTTGAGACCAGCCCGGGCACTTGGCGAGACCTCGTTTCTACAATAATTTTTTTTAAAAATTAGCTGGGCATGGTAGCACACACCTGTAGTTCTGGCTACTTGGAAGGCTGAGGCGGAAGGATCACTGGAGCCCAACAGGTCAATGCTGGAGTGGCCATGAACGTGCCACTGTACTCCAGCCTGGGCCACGGAGTGAGACTCAACTAAAAACAAACAACCAACCAACAACAATAAAAAGTTTTGTGTAGACACAAGGTCTCGCTATGTTGCCCGGGCTGGTCTCGAACTCTTGGGCTCAAGTGATCCTTCTACCTTGGCTTCCCAAAGTGCTGGGATGACAGGTGTGATCACCACACCAGGTCCAGGCCTATCTTAGTTCATGCAGCGCAGCACTGCCAAATAACTAGTGACTTGGGGCACTCGGCTCACCATTACACACCACGTGGGCCAAGCCCGTCCTGGTCTTGCAGGCCCTATCCCCACAACTGTTGCCCTGGGCATTCTAGCCTCCATGCCTGTGCTGGTCTGGCCTGAGCAAGCCTTTCCTGGCCTCCTCTGGCATTCCGGGGCCACAGGTCGTGTCTGCTTTGAGCAGCTGCCACTCCAGGCCATCGGCCTGACCTCATGCAGCCTCAGAAGAGGGAGGACGAGGGCAGAGCTTTTGATAATAGGGCCAGGGTATTAACCAAGCTCCCTCTTGCTGTTGGCAATTTCCAAATTAAAAGGTCACTGGTCGGCCAGGCGTGGAGGCTCACTTCTGTAATCCCAACATTTTGGAAGCCAAGACAGGAGGATCACTTAAGGACAGGCGTTCCAAGACCAGCTTGGGCAACATAGACCCCATCTGTACAAAAAATTTGTAAACAAAAAGCTTTTTTTTTTTTTTGAGTTGGAGTCTCACTCTGTAATTCCGGTTGCTCGAAAGGCTGAGGCAGAAGGGTCGCCGGAGCCCAGCAGGTCGAGGCTGCGGTGGCCGGGAGCGGCCACTGCACTCCAGTCTGGGCAACAGAGTAAGACTTCAACTCAAAAAAAAAAAAAAGAAAAAAACAATTAAAAAAATATTTATAAAGCCGGGCTCGGTGGATCAGCCTGTAATCCCAGCACTTCGGGAGGCTGAGGTGAGTGGATTGCCTGAGCCCGCGGGTTCGAGACCCGACTGGGCAACTTGGTGAGACCTCATCTCTACAATAAAATCAAAAAATTAGCTGGGTGTGGTAGCGCGCGCCTTAGTTCCAGCTACATGGAAGGCTGAGGCAGAAGGATCGCCGGAGCCCAGCAGGTCGAGGCTGCGGTGGCCGGGAGCGGCCGCTGCACTCCAGTCTGAGCGACAGAGTGAGACTCCAACTCAAAAAAAAAAAAAAAAAGCAGCCAGGCACAGTGGCTCACGCCTATAATTCTAGCACTTTGGGAGGGTGAGGCAGGAGAATCACTTGAGCCCTGGAATTCAAGACCAGCATGGGAAATATAGTGAGACTGTGCTTGTACACAAGATCCAAAAATTAGCTGGGTGTGGTGGCACATGTCTGTATTCCCTAGCTACTTGGGAGGCTGAGGAGGGCGGATCGCCTGAACCCAGGAGGTCGCAGCTGGGGTGAGCCATGATTTCACCACTGCACTCCAACCTGGGTGACAGAGTGAGACCTCGACTCAAAAAATAATAATGACAATACAAGGTTATAGGTCTGGATTAAAAGCTTCCTTGTGGCACTGTCCAGATTCATCCAGAATGCCTCTGTTTGTGCCAACGGGGCAGAGGTGGGCAGCAACAGTGCCAGGTATGGTACCAGTGGTCCTGGCCATCATCTCAGTGTCCCTGGTCTCATGACACCGGGAGGCGAGCTGCTCAGAGCAGCCTTTTGCTCTGGTTGGACATTCTAGAAGCAGACACCTGTGCTTCCCTGGCCCAGTTCTACTCAGTGCTGGGGCCACCGACTAGGGGACCTTCAGCAAGGGACAGTGACCAAGATGTCCTCACCTTGGGGCTCCTCGCACACAACAGCTTCCAAGTTCTCCCCCTTCACATAGTCTGCATTGAGACCCTCTGTAAGAGGCAAAGGACAGCGTTAGTGATGAACGCGGAGCCAAGGGTCCCCACTGCGACCAAGAACTCCTGGCCGAGCCCTCTGCCACAGGAGAAAAAGGCCGGCTCCCGCAGTGAACTCTGAGTCCTGGGCCACCGGAATAGCCAGATGAAGACTGTCTGTCTGGGAACACAGGAGTTCTCATCATCCTCACGTCCCATCCCCATAGGGCAGCGGGGGGTGCCAGAGGGCACGGGCTCACTTGTGGCCCAGGGGCCAGGGAGGCAGAGGAAGCCAAGTGCCGCAGGAAGGCCTGATGGATGCAGACAGGGAGGGGGCAGATGGCTGAGTGGGGCTCACCGTGGAGATGCCAGCAAAGCCCACTGCCAGCAGGTGGCCTTCCCGGCAACACCTGCCTGGAGGCCAGCTGGTTAACCGTGGCAGCAGGAATAACTGCTGTCCCCACCCAAGCTGCTCCGGTCCAGTCAGTCATCTGGGCCTTCTCCACACCTACTCCCAGCAGCGATCTGGGGCCCCAAGCACCCTCTTTTTGCCAGCAAGGGCCATCGTTCAAGAACCTGGAGTGACCCCACCCTGCTGCTGCCTGGGGCGGGCTAAGAGTCCATGCCTTGTCCCTGGATAGTCAGGGGTCTAGAAAGCTATGGTTCTACCCGGCCCACCAGGCACCAGCACGAGCCATGCCACCATCGCGGCCTGCAGGGTCACAGTCTGGAGGAGTTAGCCTGCCACCTGCCAGCCCTGGTGTCGGCTGGGCTCGAGGTAGAAGCCGACTGGGCCTGTGGGGAGTGCGGGCCTCGCTCTTTGGGAGGTGTGGCTGGCCCCACGCAGAGCAGGGCAGGTGACAGACCCAGTGGAAGCTGCCCAGGGAGTTCCCCGCTGGCAGGTGGGACAGGAAGTGCACCTGAGCGTCCAGATGCCTGTCCTGTGCCTGCCCCCCAGGCATGACCAACAGTGGGCACTTGAGTCCTTAGCCCAGTACCTCATCCCGCACACACCCGGCCTGGGGACAGAGGGTCTGGCAGGTGGCGTCAGGGAAAGCCAAAGATGGTTGCAGTCACAGACAAGTCAGTGAGTGCCTGCGGAGAGGAAGAATGGAGAGGAGAGAAAGTGGTGATGGGGGTGGGGCAGATGAGGAGGTGTCAAGGCCAAAGCCAAAGCGTAAGGAAAACAAGTAAGTCGGAGTCCATTGTTACCTTGACCTTCTGCCGCATCTGAAGGCAAGACACAAAACTTAGACCTGGAGTAAGACCTTGGCTCTCAGCAGCAGACCACGAGGGCTTTTCATGGGAGGCACTGGCTTGGGCACTGAGAGCAAAGGCGGGGGAGCCCAAGAGGCCCCCAAAGCATGGGCCCCTCTGGAGGCGGCAGACACTGAGCGCCCCTGAGGGCCACAGTGGTGGGTACAGGCCCTCCCGGCATCCACCGGCCATCTCCCTGGGGCGCCATCCCACAGTGGTGACAGGCTGACTCTGCGCTCCGGGTTTAGCTGTCCACCATTGTCCACGGGACTGCTCCCGATTCTAGTATGAGCAGGTGCTAGGGACACATCAGTGGGTGAATCACACCGAGCCCCTCAGAGAGTGATGGTGGAGGATAATCAGACACGGAAGCAGCTGGCTCCATCCAGCCCCAGAGGCAACAGCAGGGGGCGCTGGGAGACCCTGTGGAGGTCGGGAGGGCACAACTCCGAAGGGCTTGGAATGCCAAGCTCAGGGGCTGGGACCTTAGAGAGGTCCAGGCATTTTTAAACAGGTCCCTCTGGAGGAGGGTGAATTGTGGGGGAGGCTGGGACAGGCAAAAGGTTGATGGAAACTTCTAGATGGAAGATGAGAAGACCTTGGCCCTGGCCGGGAGGGGGCATGGCAGTGGTAACAGCGAGCCCTGTCTCAAGAGACCTAAGCAGATGGCACAAGTCCCAGGACTGGGGAATGCACTGATATGAGGTGGGGGGACAGAAGGACCCAGCAGGATGGCCAGCCTAGCTTGGGGAGACAGCCACATGGGAGGGGCTAGGAGGAGGCAGGCCGAAGGGGATGGCGGCGAAGTCCAAGATTCGCTGCGGGCGGGTGAGGCCCCACGGGCTGTCCTGCTTTGCTGCTGATCCAATTTGCAAAACGTCGCATCTGTTCCTCTCAGGGAACAAGTGTGAAAATCATGTACCTTCCTTTGTCCTTAGTGCCCGCACAGAGACAGCCAGATACAGTCACGTGCTTATTCTACTGATGCCTGGTTGGCCTGAAGCCAGTCTCTGGCCTTCTGTTTGGTCAGAGCAGGAAGAAAGCCAAGATGCCATTGATGGAGAAACTGAGGATCCAGCAGGGGAGGGCCCAGCCCAGCCACTCTGTCTGCTCGGCCCAAGCCTTCTTTCCCATCCATGCCCTTGCCCCAGTCAGACCTAGGTATAGCACTGGGCTTTCTACCGATAATCAGGGGCCCCAAGAGAGGCAACAGCTGGTGGGCTTTCAGTGTGCGACATCTGGGACACTGTCCTTACTCAGCCTGAAACAGTTTCCTTTTTAAATATTTAAAATTATTTTTATTTTCCAGAGACAGGGTCTCATTCTGTCACCCAGGCTGGAGTGCCGTGGCATGATCATAGCTCACTGTAGCCTCAAACTCCTTAATTATTCCATCTCCACCTCCCAAGTAGCTGGGATGACAGGCATGTGCCACCACACCTGGCTCACTTTTTGTTTTATATTTTGTAGAAATGAGGTCTCACTATGTTGCCCAGGCTGGTCTTGAACTCTTGGCCTCAGGTGATCCTCCCGCTTCTACCTCCTAAAGTGCTGATTTTAGAGGCGTGAGCCACTGTGCCCGGCCATCAGCATGTTTTTGAAAGACTCAAAGTCATCACTGGCCTATAAGCCACCCTGGCTAGCTTTGTAAAGGGCATATACTGGGGTGCCAAAACACGTACATATTTTAAGAGATGCTATGGATGTATTACTTTTGGGAGTTGACTTGAACTACCGTAGCAATGTATAGTATGACGCTCGCTCAAAAGATGGCGTTAATCAGATGAAGGCTGGTGTCACCAGGCGACAGGCCGGACAAAGAAAATTGCGGAAGCACAGTTGTTTTTCGAGGGGCGCAAGACCATTTGGAAGTGGCATTTGAAATGCAAGAACGTCGTGGAAGCACGACAATGGAGGCGTGAGCATGCAACAGAACCTCTAACACGTCTAGCAACCGCACGCACGCGTGAGGCGTTTGAGACGCATGATCCTATGTGTGACGTGCACACTGGAAGATCCAGGAGGCCTCGTACAGCAAGAAGTCAAATGTGGACTCGTATTCAATTATTAAAACTGTAATACTCTTCCTTTCTTAAAAGTGCATACATTTTTTGGCACCCTCTGTATCTGGCAATTGTGGACTGTGTGTCTCACTGTACGTAGAGCGTTGATGCTACAGTGTGACAAATGGTGCCCCCCCAAAAGATCTGTCTGCATTCTCATCCCTGGAACCTGTGAATGTGACCTTATTTGGGAACAGGGTCTTGGCGGATGTAATCGAGGATCTTGAGACACAGAACCTCTGCAAAGAGTGTGACCCTGCTGGCGTCTTGACTTCAGACTTCCAGCCTCTGGAACCGAGAGAGAATACATTTCTGGAGTTTGAAGTCACTCGGTTGGTGTTTCTTGGCGTCAGCAGTCTCAGGAAATACACACAGCTGTCCTGGACAAGAGTGCCCGTTTGACAAACCTTGCTGGTGAACCCTGCTCGTCCCAGGCTGTGGGCCGCTTTGTCTGAAGTGCTTCCAACTACTACGTTGCTACGAACCAAGCCCAGAATGGCAGTCCCTTTCCTTGCCTCCCAAATCACCTAGACGAGGAAGTGGCCAAAAATCAAGGCAAAACGTACCTGATGTTTCTAGCGAGGGTAGGGAAGCCTTGCAGGGGGTGTTCCTAAGCTTCCCAGCACCTGGTCCTCTGGCCCCCTTCACAGCACCCCCACAGGGCTGCCTGGCATGGGGCATCCATCGACTAACACAGGATTCCATTTGCAACTACTCAGTTTACCCACAGCTTCCAGACTCACGGCTAGAGCATAAGACGAAAGCGACCTATCTTTAAAACTCTCCCACAGCAAGGGGGCACACAACCACACTCCATTCTCCTTCCTACTTCTTTAGAATGACTCATGCGTCCGTGGTTTAAAACTCATGAGGGCAGCAGCAGGGATACGAGGCAGTGACTTCTCAGAATGTGAAGGGCCACGTTTTGCAGATCTCAGAGACCGCCACCTTCTGCTTCCAAGAAAACCAGCAGCATGGGAGGGGTCCTTCATGAGATCCCCGGCCATAGATGCAGCCCAGGGGCCCTCTCGTTCCACGGGAAGGAAACATCACAATGGTCCCTGAGCTCTGTTTGTACAGAATCAGCCTCTGGGAGCTGTGGCCCTTGGAAGGTCAAAGTCACTCGGCCCAGCCCCATCCACTCTTGCGGGCCGGTTTTCACTTCTGTTTGGCCGGGACCTGTCTCCGAGGATTTCCAAAACTGCAGCCTCCACCCGTGTCCCAGGAAGTCTGCTCGTGGGCTGGAGCTGGTCTCGGGCAGGCTGCCGGAGGGATGCGGACCCGTCCCGCCCCGCCCCTCCAAAGACCCAGGAGCGGTGGCTGCACTTACGCTGGATGCTGAAGCAGAACTTCTTCTGCTGGTAGGAGATATAGCTGGAGACGGCACCAATGAGGGCCATGGCCAGGGCGCTGGCCACCCCGGCTATGGTGCCCGTTTCTGCCACCATGCCTGTGCCAGGGAGAAGGAGGAGAAACGAAGAGAGGTGGGGTCAGAACCAGAGCAGTGCAGGGAGCGGCTGGGGAGGTTGCCTCTCCTGTGGCACCAGCCTAAGCCCCCTGGGACACCCACTGCCCCGGAGCCGGCGCCTCGGGCCTCGCCACTCAGACCTAAGGCACTGCGACGACAATGCAGTGCCCCTGGGATCTGCCGAGAGCTTCTCGTTTCCTCAGGGACTTCCCTGTTGAGAAGCTTGGAAGGCAGACAAGGAAATGGCACCCCCGGGCCCCCTCCTCGGAATCTTTAAATGGCTATGCCCCTCCGCGGCAGGCCTCCTGATTCTCCATGGGAAGCATTCAGGGGAAAGACAGGAGTCTCGAGACTCAGAAACTCACCAGACCCAGGGTCATCGTTGCTGCCATACCGGCCATCACCTGGAGAAGAGACAAAAGCTTAGTGTCTGCTGTGACTGGCGACCAGTCACCAGCTCAGGGTCGGCTGCAGAGGGGTGGATGGCAGTGCCGGCCCCAACCAGCGAGGCACCCGTGGGCTTCCATGTGACTCAAATGAGGCCTGCTATCTTATGCAGACTGCCGACACAGCCCAGGCATCAAGGAGGAACTTTGGAGATTACGATGGCAGCTCACTCCTTGTGTCCCAGGTCCTCAGGCGCAGGATTGTATTTTATCTCGTGCCCTCCAGTGGGACCCCCACCACACAGGGGAGGAACAGAGGTCGGGGGTAAGGGGCAGTGCTGGGAGAGGCTGGCTCACAATGGCACCACCAGGTGACCCTGTATATTCACTGTCCCAACGACAGTTGTTGTTGTTCTTGGAACATAAACAAAGACTCACAATCATCCCTCATCCACTGTTTTGAAACACAAAAGGCTTTGAAGTATCGGAGAGTTGGAGAGTCCATGAAAGCTGATGGGCTACTGAGGGCGGGGAGGGAGGGACTTGGCTGCAGCTACAAATGGGCAGTGGGAGGATCATTAGGGTGACGGACTGTTCTGAATCTCCACCAGGGTGATGGTCACATCAAGCTACACATGCACTAGAACCGTGTGAGCAAAACAGGTGTATATGCATGCGTACACTTTCCTCAACCTGACAAACAACAGGCACCGCTGCAGGTTGGCTTGAATTCATCTCTCGATTCTCAGAGTAAGTGCTTGTGGCAGGATCCTTTACAGAGAGAGAGACGATGCCCAGGGCCCTAGGCTCTTAGGGAAGACCGCCCTGGATACTTGAGGCAGTGGGCTCTGACATCTCCTGCACCGATCAGAATCTGGGGGATGTGGTCCGTGGGCTGTAAGAATGACACCATGTGGGCCATGCCTGAGTGGGGACAGGGGGATGGGAAATCCTGTACCTTCCTCTCAATTTTGCTATGGATCAAGAACTGCTCTGAAAAAACAAAGTCTCTTTTTGGCCGGGCATAGTGGCTCAGGCCTGTAATCCCAGTCCTTTCGGAGACCGAGGTGGGAGAATCACTTGAGCCCAGGAGTTTGAGACCAGCCTGGACAACATGGGTGACCTCATCTCTACAAAGAATTCAAAATTAAAAAAACAACAGGGCACGATGGCGTGTTCCTGTAGTCCCACAGTTACTTGAGAGGCTGAGGCGGAAGGATCGTCTGAGCCCAGGAGGTTGAGGCTACAGTGAGCTGTGATCGTGCCACTGCACTCCAGTCCAGGCAACATAGTGGGGCTCTGACTCCAAAATATTAATTAGTTAATTTAATTTAATTAATAAATAATAAAGAACTACCTGAAATCTTTTAAAAAGAGGAATACTCAGGCTGGGCACGGTGGCTCACACTTGTAATCCCAGCACTTTGGGAGGCAATAATGAGAAGATTGCCTGAGTCCATGGGGTGCAAGACCAGCATGGGCAACTTGGCGAGATCTCATCAAAAAAATTAGCCAGGCTTGATGGCGCATGCCTGTAGTTCCAGCTACTTGGAAGGCTGAGGCAGAAGAATCACCTGAGCCCAGCCGGTCGAGGCTGCAGTGGCTGTGAACATGCCACTGCACTGCAGCCTGGGTGACAGAGTGAGACTTCGACCCCCCCCCAAAAAAAAGACTACTCTAATGATCAAGATCCATATTCAGAGTTTTTATTGAATAAAAAAATGATTTAGGCAGAGTTCCATATGTTCTCATTCATAAGCGGACCTTGAATGATTATAATGCTATAAGAAAGCGACTGGCATTAGTGGGAAAATGTCAGGGGAGGGAGGGCAGAGACTGGCAGTTGAGAGAAACTGCTAGGAGAGGGAGGGGCATATCTCATCAACAAGGGTACCTGCATGATCAATGTTTATATACCTACCCCTGAATTGTACCTGACATCTTTATAATAAAAAAATTTTTAAAATGGTTTAGGATAGCATGATCTTTTTTTTTTTTTTTTTTTTTTAAGACAGCCAGGTGCGGTGGCTCATGCCTGCAATCCCAGCATTTTGGTAGGCTGAGGTGAGAGGATTGCTTGAGCCCAGGAGTTTGAGACTAGCCTGGGCAACATAGCAAGACCTCACCGCTATAAAAAAACAAAACATCAGCCCAGGTGTGATGGTGTGTGCTTGCAGTCCAGGCTACTCAGGAGGCTGAGGTGGAAGGATCACCTGAGGCCAAGAGGTCGAAGCTGTGGAGAGCCACGATCATGCCACTGTACTCCAGCCTGGGCGGCAGAGTGAGGACTCATCTCAAAAAAAAAGACACAGATATTTACAAATGTGTACTTTTGCACAGAAAAAAGTATTCCAAGCACATAGTCTCAAGCATTACTAGTGATTCTTTCTGGATGGTGAAACAAGTATTTTTCATATGCTTTTAAAATTTTTCGATAGGTAAGCCCCATGTAAACCTCTCCACCTCTCTTTCCCATAGCAAAGAGGTGATTTCACGGGTCACTGGCAGGTTCTCCCTTTATTAGGTCTGAATGCACGCGCGCGCGCGCGCACACACACACACACACACGTCAGCCTGGAGTCCCACAGGGCCACACCACGGAGAGGTCCCTCTCTGACAGCACAGCCTGGGCTCATTGTTACACTTGGTCACCAGCTAACAGCAGGAAGATTCAACGTGGAACCGCTAGGGGGAGATGTTCACACATTTAAGGACCGCTGGTAGTGTTTTAGACTTCTGGTAGACACAGCTAGAGCTTTGGGATATTTTTAAAACATATTTTCATGAACAACAACAACAAAAAAAAACCAGTGGCAGCAGAAGTACAAAATAAAAATAAGTTTTGAAAAATGAATAAAGAAAGGAAAATTGCTGCAAATGACCCATAGTTACCAAGTCAAACTGAACTGAAAAAACATCTGCCAAAACACAGCTGCCAAGGCCAGCCACTAGAGACAGCGCACCTCACTGTTCCAGAAAGTTTCCAAGGCCCTATCTCGCCCAGTCCCCACTGAAGGGATGAGGACGCCCACCCCTCTGGATACCATGATGGGTACCCTGTCAATCTGATACGGAGCCCTAGAAGCCCCACTGTCTTATGTCGAGCTCCCAAGATACCAGCAAGGAGGTCACCCAGGAGAAAGCCATGTTCACGCCGCGCTCCCGGGTGTGTGGTGGAGGGGTGGGGAAATCTAAGGGACTAAATGAGCACCTGAAACATCTGATTTCCTTCCATGTTATAAAAGCTGAAGAGAATATGGAAAGGGCTCCATAGAAGAGAGGAATCTTGAGGTCCCCACTGTCAGGACCTCTCTCTAATCACCCCCCAAAGGCCCGCCTCCCAATGTATCCCATTGGAGGTTAGAATTTCAATATATGAGTTTTTTGGAGGGGACACAGACATTCAGTCCATAACAGTAAGGGATTATGATGGCCCCCAGATACTTGAAGGCAATGACTGTAAATACAGAAAAAATGAGAAATGTTTTCTTCAAGACTCAGTAGGGAGAAACATTTCTGTGTGGGAAGATGAAAACGTTCTAGAAATGGATGGTGGTGGTGACTGCAAAACACCGTATATGTACTTAAAAATGGCTCAGCGGGTCAATTTTGTTACGTATATTTCACCACAATTCAAAAAATGGGAAGATTCCACCTGGGCAACAAAGCAAGACCTCATCTCTACCAAAAACAAAACAAATCAAAAAAAATTAGGCAGGTGTGGTGGTACATACTTCTAGTACCAGCTACTTGGGAAGCTGAAGTAGCAGGATCGCCTAAGCCCAGGAGGTCAAGGCTACAGTAACCCATGATCATGCTATTGCACTCCAGCCTGGGTGACAAAGTGAGACCCTGACTCCAAAAAAAAAAAGTAAGACTCAATAGGCAGCCTGGAGGGCTTGGAAGATGCTGGAAGGCAGGAGGTCACAAGTGGAGAGTGAGCAGAGACCTGGGCACAGTTTCCATGCAGGTTATTACAAGAGAAACCAAAACATGGCAGTTCAGAGACAGGAAGCAGCCACTGGCCCTGGGCCCCTCAGGTGGGTGTGCACAAGAAGTGGCCTGTGAAACACCCAGTGAGGAAGACGAGGCTACAGGCTCCTTCTGGGGAGAACTAGCATAGAGGTTACAGTCGCCATCTGTCCCTAGTCAGTGATAGCGCCCTCAGCCCTGCAAACTACAGGTGAAAGTGGCCATGCCTCACCCTGGGGCCATCTCCAGGTGTGTGTGACCCAGACACAAAACAGAATGTTCCTACCTCCTCAGAAGGAGGGGTTTTGATTCTTGCCTCTGTTTTTAAGAACGACACGCTTTTGGCCTTTGAAATTTGCCCTCTAGGGGTTAAAAAGTGTTCCGTTTGACTTCTAACATTTTCAAAATAAATTTTTTGGCTCTCATTGAGAAAAATTAGGCAGTGTGTGGCCCTGTGAGCCCACTGGAGTTATGGCCAGCAGTGTCGACCCAAGTGCGTCCAGCATGTGGGCGAGGTGGCAAGCCAGAGAAAAGAGCCCGTGCAGGGAACCCCTGCATGGTTTGACCTTGAAGGAGACCCATCTCTTCATGGTGTTCCCTGTGCTGCACGGAGGGTGTGTACTTGGAGCAGAAGAAAGCACCACCACCCGTTCCTACCACCCACGGCTCCACGCAGTGCCACTTGATAGGGCTGGTCACCAAAGCCCAAGCTTTGAGCAAACGCAGAGGGCTTCAGGAGAGGTCGAGAGGGAACGAGGGAGAGGGGAATACACCCAGCCCGAGCTCGAGCCGAGAGGTAAATACTGCCCCAGAGTGGCTCTTGCGGGGCACAAGAGAAGTGCTGTCATCCCCACGCGGTTCCTCGTGTCATTTCTCAAGAGTTTTCTGGCCAACATGGCTGCCCACTCAAAGTGCTTCTCCAACTGAGAACAGATGCAAGAAGCCAGGGAAGATCAGGGCCGCCTCTGCTAGGTGACCGGCAAGAAAAGTACTCCAGCATCCTGTGTGTTCCAGGTAGTTAAGAGGACACAGCCTGGGGCCACAGG